GTTTCGCACTTTTTTATATTAAAATATTAATTAAATGGTGCGAAACTCACCAATTATTTATTAAAATTGTGCGTTTCGCACTTTTTTCTATTAAAATGTTAATAAAATGGTGCGAAATTCACCATTTTTTGTTAAAGTAGTGCATTTCGCACTTTTTTTTTATTAAAAAATATTAAAATAATGCGAAATGCATTACTTTTTGTTACTATATATAATTAATTACCAAAATCCGTAATATTGCAAACTTCATAAATATATTACAGACCCATCCTTAATGGTTTTGCGCAACTTAATTTTTATCAATATTATACAATTGATCAACATATAATGCAATATATTTATAAACTCTACGCAAACGTGATATGTGAGTTATCCCAAAATTGACCGATCTACGCAAACTCAATTTATGGGTTTAAAAAGTAATTTCATATAAACTCTACACAAACCCATTTGTGAGTTATATCAGTATTATTCGGGGTCCTGCCATAATAGTAAAACTTGTAAGGGAAAGGAAAAAGAAAATCAGGATAATAGCGAAGAAATGAGTTGAATTCTGATTATTTGTCATCTGATAAGGATTGATTAATTTAATCTTATGCCATTACAATATCTTACATCATGTGAACGTGAGTAGAACGCGAGACGAATACAGTCAATTGTTGGAGAATCATGAGAAAATCGAGGAAGAATCATGGGAGAATCATGGGAGAATTATGGGAGAATTGTGGGAGAATCGTGAGGAAAATCTACTAAATTAATAGTAAAATTATATTAAATTGCTAGTATGTATCGTGGGTGAAACAAGGAGAGAACGTAATTAAGCGTCGAATAAAATTTTTTAATTCTGGTAGTAAATTATTAGTCATTTTTTTTGAGAAAATTTTATTTCACGACATTACATCATTATTAGACATTTCTTATAAAAAAATTTGATATTATCGATCATCTATGATATTAATTATCTATGAGATTTTTTTTATTTAAAGAGTCAATTTCCTTAAATGAGTTTGTAGTTTTATTCAAATTTTTTAATTTTTTTCCTCAAAAAATTTTCAAAAAAAAATTTCCCTGAAAATATTCAAATTTTTTTTCTTTGAAAAATTTCCTTTCCTAAAAAAACTTCTTAAACATTTTCGCTTATTTTTCAAAAATCTCAATAATGGTAACGAATGTAAGTAATAGTAGATAACACAATACTTACAATCAAATTTCAAAATAATTTTATATTTTTTTACTGTAGTGGAACAACGATGAGGTCCGTATGCTTATTAACCTACGAAAAACAGACAATGAACGTTTTCATCATATTGGTCATGTCAAACGACCATTTTGGAAGGAGGTTGCCGGCAAGATAAATTAGCGATTCAGGTCAAATTATTCAGTGCAGCAATGTAACCAAAAATTTAATGACGTATTAAAAGATTACCGAGTAAATATACTATATTATAACTGTTATTATATTGATTGTTTCTTATTTTCTCTTAAGTATCAATTAAACATTTTTTTTATTAGGCGATGTATAATTATATTCACTCAATACCAGGTGGCAAAAATAGCAGAAATGGCGAAATGTACTATGAAGAGTTTAAAACAGAATTCTGGCAGAAGCCAGGTAAATATTATCTATGACCTTTTATTTATTTGAATTTTACAGAGTGTAATTTTAAGTTTTCAAATAATATTTAGAAACTGAATACGATAGGATGCATAGAGCAAATCAAGCGGCTCAGGCAAAATTCAGTTTGAGTTCAGCGGCAAGTTTTGCAAATTATGATCTAGCATTAATTGATAGTAATCAAGGAGATCAAGGGAAGGAGAATGAAGAAGGATGTTTTGTTGATAATGAAGAAGTTGATAATGAAGGAGAAGAAATAAGTTTAAGTAATCAAGAGGATCAAGGGAAGGAGGATGAAGAAAGATGTTTTGTTGATAATGAAGAAGTCGATAATGAAGGAGAAGAAATAAGTTTAAGTTTTTTAAGTTCAAGTTCTTCAAGTTCAGGTTCTTCAAGTTTATTAAGTTCTTCAAGTTCAAGTTCTTCAAGTTCAAGTTCTTCGTAGAGTAACTTTTTTCGTTAAAAAAGTCCAGGATCATTTATTTTTTTTTCAAATTGTTAAATTGCTGTGCATTGCATGATTACTTGGTGTAACACTTTAGTAAATCATGAAATTTTACAAATTTTACGTTTTGCAAAAATTTTATACTTAATAAAGAATTTTTTTCATTGTTATCATTGTGCTGCCAATAAAACTGAATATAAAAGGTCACGAAATCAATAAAATTCAAATATCACAATTTACAAAATCAACGAAAATTAGAATATTAAAAATCACCAAATTACAAGTAAAAAAACATGGGGTTGCCATGGTGACGGGTCGCCAGGTAGTAACGCCCATAATAATAAACTAATAAAGTTTTATTTTAATAATAATAAATAAAACCAAGATAAATAGATAAATAATTCTATATTACTTTATTTTATTACATATAAATTGCATTATTATTATTTTGTCAGTAAAATGATTGTCAGTAAAATGTACTTGTTGTCACCGGCATCTGCTACCTGCTAATAACAATTCACCTAAATTTATCTTTGTTTCTTAATGAAACATTAATATTCTTATGCTTGGTTTATATTTTAATTTAACATCTTTTATTAACTTAATTTTCAAACTGTGATAGCTTCCGCCACGCAATTTATTATTATTTTTCTTTTCAAACTTCAATAATTTCCTTTTACAAAATATTATCTTTATTTCCCATTTTCTTTATTATTTTATTTTTACAAAATGTAAATATTAACTAATAGCTTAAGCGAACAATAAGCATATTTGAAAATAACTTTTAATAATTAATAAAACAATATTATAATACTAACATTAGGGCGAACCTATTATATTTTCTTATAACATATTTTATTTTTGAGTTCCTAAAAGAACTATTTTTTACTAAAACCAAAACATATGGGCCGATCCTTGGAATCTAATTTTTTTACACAAAAATAATTTTATTAAAGCAAATATAAATTATCATTTATATAAGAATAATATATTTATACCAGATAATGCAAAAAAAACTAATTAATTATATAATTTTTAATTTTTTTTTAATATAAGATATATTAAAATTTAAAAGATCAAATATAACTCTCATGACAAAATCATTGATAATTCTTCGTGGAAATAAGCTATACAAATAAATTTACATTCATTTGAAAGAGAAAATCGAGATCTATCTAATGAATCTAAAATCAAGTGAATTGAATCACTAGTTGTTCAGTAATCACGTTCAGTATATTATTGAATTTTATCTAAATTTGATCATTAATTACTTCACATATAGTGATTCAATTTGAATGATCTTTGCTCCCTAAGGTGATGCCAACTTTTATCTTTAAAATAAATTTAAAATAATTCGTTTAATATATGTAGATGTTTAGGAATCATCAATTATATTATTAATATAAAATTTTATAAGTTTGATAAAATCTGATATAAAAAAATTTATTAAATACCTGTAGATGCAAGCTACACGAATGAAATTATATTCATTTGAAAGAGAAAATTGAGGTCTATCTAATAAGCCTAAAATCGAATGAATTGAATCACTGGATTGTGAATAATTACGTCTAATATATTTATTTTTAATTTTTAAATTTGATTTGACTTTGATCGTTAATTACGCCTCATCCAGTGATCCAATTTTCCTGATCTTTGATTCTTACGATAGAGCAAATTCTCAGCTTTCAAATGAATGTAAAATGATGACGTTAGCATATCTCCAGGAATAATAATGCACGATTTTGTCACCTGCATAAAGTCCGATCTGAAAATTTTATTTCTTACCAAAAAATGCTTTCATAAGAGAATCCCAAATTCTTTTACTTTATTTAAAAGATTTTATTTGCCATTTAAGGATTTTAGTAGAATAAATCTAATAAAATAATTTTAAAAGATAAAAAACAAATATATAATTAGTTATTTTGAAAAAAAAAGAATATCTTATTATTCATTTTACAACTATTTTACATCATAATTATTTTTTATTTGCATGTATTTTTTACAAAGAAAAAACAATAAATTAAAGCTAAAAATTATGAAAAAATATGTCTTATCTATGTATATAAAATATTAAGTTTTTTCTTTTACTTACCACTTAAAAATAACTGCTATATTTGCTTATAAACTTTTTTGTCATATTTAATAAAAGTGAATAGAAAAATGATGGAAAAGTGATGGGAGTGATGGGGAAAAAGAAGTGGTTATTACCGTTATTTTTGAATATTGATTAAAAAAATTTTTTTTATTTTTTATTAAATCTGAGTTACGTAAATATGTAACACATATTTAATTTAGATTTGTGTAATGTTAATCTTACTAAAATATTAAATTTTTATAAAAATCTTAATTTAGACTAATTCCAAAAATCGGCACATATGATCTACCCTTTTTATACTTTTTCATCGTATTCTAAATTATTTACTAATCCTATTTCTATCCTTCTTCTTTTCTGTAATCCTATTCTTTCCTTTCTTTCCGTTCCTTTCTTTCCATTTCTTTCTTTTTGTTCTTTTCTTTCCGTTCTTTTCTTTTTGTTCTTTTCTTTCCGTTCTTTTCTTTTTGTTCTTTTCTTTCCGTTCTTTTCTTTTTGTTCTTTTCTTTCCGTTCTTTTCTTTTTGTTCTTTTCTTTTTGTTCTTTTTTTTCCATTCTTTTCTTTTCGTTCTTTTCTTTTCGTTCCTTTCTTTTAATTTTCTTCCTTGTAGCACAATTACATCATTGTGGTACCGTCTATCTGTACTACCCTTAGGTTATACAAAATCACGTGACCAAACTTCTAATTATCCTATGTAACCTCAGGTTATGCAAAATCACGTGACCAAACTTCTAATTATCCTGTGTAACCTCAGGTTATGCAAAATCACGTGACCAAGCAAATCATGTGACTTACTGTGCCACTAATCAATTTCCTAAATTAATAAAGTATCTTAACTATAACTAAAATATAACTATAATAAACTAAACTAATATCACATCGCATAAACTATTTATTTTCCTAATTACTTATTTTTTCAATCTATTATTCTCTTAATTGTGCATTTACTCTGATATTATGGTTACACTGTCGGTAAGTGATTGTCGGTAATATGATTGTTGGTAAAATGTACCTGTCAGTAAAGTGAGTATCGGTAAAATGATTGTTGGTAAAATAATTATCGGTAATGTGAATGGGTCCCTGCACAGGTGCACACAAATTTTATTATTATTATTATTATTATTATTATCATCATCTTCTATCTATCATTAATCATCTTCTAAACAATTAAAAAAATTCATATCGATCTGTAACGTTTAGTTTACTTTGTATAAATAATTTTTGAATTGTGCAACCTGCGCTTGATCTATTCTGTTTTTGTTAGCTTGAACGATTTGGTCGGGTAGCTGATCCTGTGTTGCCATAAATCGGACAATTTGATCAGCAGATTTTGATTACTAAAATTTATTTTGTTAGCTTAAATAAGTTTAGAGGAAATTTTGGTTTTTTTGTCTATTTTTTTTTCTATAATGTACAGTAAACTAATAAACAAAATAGAAGGAAAGGTAATGAAGAGAAAGAATTAAAAGGGAAGTGATGGATAAATGGCAGGGGAAGGACCCCGGATATCTCCAAAACAGGTCATAAGTCACACTTTCGGCAGATTGGCCCATTTTTCAGGGGCTCAAAAAATCGTTTTTTGTAAATATCTCGGCATCCAGTAGTCCAATTTTGATGAACTTTTTTTTAAATTGTAGAGCTAAATGAGGGCTACAAAATAAAAAAATGTTCATTAAAATTGAATTACTGGATGCTGAGATATTTACAAAAAACGATTTTTTGAGTTTCAGCAAAAAGGGGTGTTTTTGGCCAAAAGTCCATTATGACCTTTATATTAGATATCCGGGGTCCTGCAGGGGATGTGATGAAAAGAAAGAATTGGAAAAGGAAGTGATGGATAAAATAGAAAGAAAGATGATAGATGAATAGAATGGGTAAACTATATATGAAATACAAAATCCCATATCTCATATTCAAATATCCAACAATTTTACTAATAATTTTTTCTTAAATAAAATTTATATAATATCATAAATACCAGAGTATGTTTACCAGACATAATTTACTAGTTCAATTTTTTATAAATGGCATAAAACTTTTTTTGTCCCATATCCCATATTATTTTTTTTTATTTTATCAATAAATTGACATCGATTGGGCCAGAAAAGGCCGTAGGAAAGAGCACTAAAACTATAGGCTAACTATATTCCATGTGCGTATTCTGAAACTAACTTTCGCAAAAGTCATTGTAAACGGTCAAATATCAAGCATGAAAAGATGATAAAATTCAATCACCAAATGTAATTGCCAAATATTGTGAACGAACAAATTAATTATGAATTGACGTAGATGGATAAATAATTAGCTGAAAAGGATAAACATTTAGGAAGAGTAATGATCTACATGATGTAATATTTATCGAATGATTGACAAAGAACCAATAGAATAATTAGAGTCGATCAATTGCGGCTTAGCAATCTTTAACAATAAGAACGATTAGAAAGAATAATTATAAGCCACAAAAGATAGATTATAAGCAAAACACATAAAGCGAATTAAAAGAACATATAAAATAATGTCAAAAAGATTAAAGAACATAAAATAATATAAAAGATAATATAAAAAGATAGTATAAAGATGGAACGTAAAAGATAACATATTAAAAAGAACATATATAAAAGATAGCATATTAAAAGATAGCGTATTTAAAATATAGATAGCATATTAGAAAGATAGTTCAAAGATAATATGTAAAAAGAACATAAAAGATAGTATATAGATAGAATAGAAAGTAGCATAAAATTTGTATAAATAGAGAGCGGAATTCAAAGTAATTCCATAGTTCTCATCCACGGAACTCAATAAAAATATAAGTTTCATTTAATTATTTGTTAGTAAAGTTTAATATTAATTAAAGGTAATAGGTTCACCCTAAACTTTGATTAATGTTTGCTTAATTAATTTTAATTGAATAAAATGAAAATTTTAAGATGAATTAAATATACATTTTTGAAAAGTAATAATTCGTAGCGAGAGCTATCGAAGTTTGAAATTAAAGGTAAAAGTGGATATAATTTGGGGAAAATTCAGAGAAGTTAAATTTATTTTATATTGTTCAACGTTTTATATTACTAACGCTATTTATTTTGTGAACCAAGAATGTTGTTTTATGTTGTTGTTTATTAACTTGTTTATTCGTTTAATTGTTCGTTCGTTCGTTTATTCGTTCGTTTGACCATGAGAATGCCCGTTCGATGTGGCAACTCTGTAAATTGATGACAGAGGTAATTGGGGGATCTCATCGTCGATGCCTATCTTTCACAGTCTAATTATCAATAACAATTAGAGGGTATCTGTACATGAGAGAAGACCCATATTTTTCTTTCGACCATAAAGGCCGCCACCTGTAAATACTGTTAGAGGTGAAATGGTTCACACTATTTTAAGTTGTTTTAAATGGGGTAATATATATTGAAACGGGTGTGTAATGACTCCAAAAAATACAAATAAATGAAAAGAGAAAAAGAAAAAAGAAAAAACTATAGTATAGCCAACTGGGAGTCTATATAAAAAAACAGTCGGCGGACTAATATATATAAAAAAAGGTATTAAAACTAAGGCCCAAGGGCATTAGCGAGAACAGGTAAAAAATCCAGTGATAACTTTAATCTTTTAGTTCGAAGAACTGAGTTATGGAGATTGAGTAGATCCCGGACATCAGAAAGGTAAGCCTTGCGTTTTTTCAGTCTTGAGTCGACTGGGTGATCAGTTGGTTGAAAGAAGTTAATAAAATAAGGGATAGCGGTGCCATACTAAGCACTGCTATTCTGTATATTTGTAGATTTGTCGATATAATTGTCATATGTAGACTGGGAGATTAAACCAGTAGCTAAGAACCATTTAGGGGTGTAGGGAATTAGAGGTGGAGAAGCAATCTTTGCAGAAGTGGGAATGGAAACAAGAGTTTCCAAAGTATTAGAGCGTTCATGTCTAGATGCAGTAGGTAATTCCTTAATTAGAGGTCTTGTTTTAACGTTAACAACATGAGGAGTCTCCCTCAAAATCTGGTGCTGTGGAGTAAAGGATTGTGAGGACGATGCAACAGGTTGGGAGGTTGAAGCTGTGAGTGAGTCATTGTTTAAAAGGTAGATGACCAGGCTGTAAATAAAGTGTCATTAAACAGATCGTTGCACATCGTACGGGTGTAAGATGGTGGTAACGAGATGGAAAAAGAATAATCATCCTAAAATTGAAACTCATTGTGATTTATATTAAATAGATGTTGAATCCTTTTCCTGATGATTTGCCTTGTTCGAGTTGTGATTCTATTATAGTCGCAAGTGAGTTTTCAAACAACTTTGCGACTCGACGTTGATGTCTGTGAAGTCTTTCATTTTGTTAATGTCTGACTGAAGCGTGGTGACTGAAGTTTGTGTTGAAGTTAAAGAGTTCTTTACGATACATGGAAGTACCCTTGAGACGGTTTGGATGTCTAGCATTATATGCCATATAACGTACACAGTATGAGGTACCTTGTCTGTTGGAACGAACTTCTTTAATTGTTTTATCGTTCCATCATTTGAAGAGAAGTGCCGCGTGATGTAATTTATGAGGTTTCTTAATCTTGTGATTATTCCAAGATTGTAAGTTGTCAGTGGTTGGAGTATCTAATTCTGAAGACTAAATGGTTAATAAAGGTTTAAGTGTTTTAGTAAAGCTGTATCGTTCCAAGTGTATCTGATGATTAATACAAGCACGTCTTAAATTGGACATGATAAATGGTGTAGGAATGGCACACGTAGAGTGAATTTGATTAGAAAGATTTTGTCAGGTGATATGATTACACGGGATATAAATCCCAAAGTAAAAATGATAACGTTTGTATGAAAAATTAAAAAATGTTTTTGTAGAGGTATTTCAGTGTTGTGTATTGTTACCACGTGATTTTATCATATCAATTCTATCCAGTAATTTTGACCGGATAAGTTGAAAATATTTTTGTTGTATGCGTCGGGGAATAACATATTGATGAGAAAAAAATGAGTCAGCATTGTGCTCACTTGGAATTTGATGTTGGGTAAGAGGCTTGTGGAGTTATAGCTAATCAGGGTTGATTTTATGTGGTAATCATTTGTGTAAATCTTGAGGTGAATATCATTGGTGCTTTGCGGTTGATCTGCAAGCTCAAGAAAGAAACTTTTTAACCGGTTAATCTCATAAATCTTGTTACTGCCTGCTTGATTAGAACGGGTCACGTGAAATTTTTTAAAAGAAATAAGAAAAGAATTTTTTAATTTTTTTTGAGGTGTTGAAAGAGAAAAAACGTTAGCTGAACTGCGTGGTTCAGCCTTAAGGAAAGCAGGTTGTATTTCGACCTGCATTTCTCTCAAGGACTAAATAACTGAGGGTTATAAGAGGAGGACTTTCCGTTAAGGCCACCCCGTGGTCCTTAGTTCCTCTTTAAAACAGTGTGTGAAAATAAGTGTCTACTGCAGATTTATAGTAAAAAAAATGGAAAGGGGAGAGAGTTTTTTTCAACATCCATATCCCATATTAATATGGGTGGCAAGTAGGATTCATCCGGATTGTAACACTAACGTGACGTTACACAAATTTCCAAAAAGGAAAATTTATTTTTTTATTACACATGATTCCAAAAAGGAAATTGTTATACCAATTATTTAATTTTGGCCGGTAGGAGAAAATTAAACCATTATTTAGCAAAAATTTTTTAACAATTCAAAAGAAAATAGCTAAAACATTAGAATTACATTATTTAAATAAAGTTTTATATTAAAAAAATTACACAATCTATAAATATTTTAAATGAGATTTGGAATGGGATTTGGGATTTGGGATGGGATGGGATTGGGACTGGTTTGGGATTGGAATGGGTATGGGATTTGGGATTTGGAATGGGATGGGATGGGATCGGATATGGGATTTTGAATGGGTGGGCCAAAATTATCTTGATTCTGGCCGAATTTATAATGTTGGCCAAATTTAGTTAAAATCGAAAATTTTCATATTATATGGTCTAACATGAGCTTTATATATCTTCATAACCTAATAAAGTTGATTATTTTGCTAAATTGCACCTAGAAATGAATATATTTTGATTAAAAGGGGAAATTTTCATATTTAAGAAAAATCGATCTCAAAAAATTATTAAGCAATCCAATCAAATTTTGTTCCAAACGGGCTCATCCTTTATATGATGCACAAATTTGGTACAAATTTATGCAAATACATTTTTACTGGGTATCATTACTAATTTACTTTCTTTCATTACTAATAAATATGTAACTTATGAAGTATTTTGTATATTTTTATATTTTAAACTAATAAAAATTTTATAATTTCACTTTAAAAATTTATGAATTACCATACAATGATGTGATTTTATTGCAATTTTTAGCACATTTTATTTTATGATCAAATGTGCAGAGATCATAGTGAAATTATAGTGAAAATCGTATTAAAATCGTAGTAAATTTAATTGGATGATTTTTCAACAGAAATCACACAGAATTTTTTCATAGGGCATTAATTATCATCATATATACTGTATAATGTATTTATAAATCATTCCTAATATTTTTAATTTTCAAAATAATTCCAATATCTTATTTGTTAATTCTTTCGGTAAATACAAGTTTTAGATCGCGGGGGGTTAGTAAGAACTGAGCGTTTAATAATAATTTGTCCTTATTAATGCTATTTTCAGGGAGAGTCCATTTATATTTGAGCACTTTAAAAGGAATGATATAAATTACTTATTTGGTTCAACTATAAATAAATTAAGCAATTTAAATATATTTTACTCACGGATCATTGAAAGAATAATTCTTTGTTCCATTAAAGATAAATTTTGTCCGACACTATATGTTTTTAAGAAAAAATTTAATTTTAAAATGTGGTAAAATTATTTTATATTTGTAAAAAGAAGTACATGCTGTATATACCAATTTCTTGGACCAGAAGAAAAAGTAACCCAAGAATATGCGTGTCTTTTCTCGCTACTTAAAAATCTTTCAGGGTCGTATTGATTAGGATTTTTCCAATATTTTGGATTATGATGAATTTGCCAAGCATTTACCATACATATAGTATTTGTTGGTAGAGTATAGGGGCCAAGCTTAACTGGCTTATTTAATCTTCTAGCAGTTATTATTGGTGCCGGTGGATAAGCTCGTAAAGATTCTTTAATAATTGCATTGACATATTTCAATTCCTAATATATATAGTTATATACAGTACACATAATATATATGAGTAAAATACAGTAAAATTGTAAAATGTGAAAATTAATAAATTATAGTAATGGCTTAATAGTACCTTTAATTGATCTGAATTTGGTATAATTGGTTCGTTACCAAGAATATTAATTACTTCTGCTCGTGCTTTTTCTTGCATTTCCTATTTATTTTGAATTACAAACAAATTAATGAAAAGATGTAAATTTTGAAAAATCAACCACAAAAATTTACCACTTACTGGATATTTTGCAAGAAAATAAAGCGAAACACTCAATGCTATTGAAGTGCCTAAAAAAAAAATTTTTTTGAAATTTTAAATAAAGATCTTTGTAATTCATAAATAAATTTTCTGTCCCCAGAAATTTATGTCCTAATTTAATCTAATATGTACGTACTACAACGCACAATTTTAAACTTACTATCATGTCCTGCAGCAAAAATGCTCGCCAACTCATCCCTTAATTGTTTTATATCGGTATTAATTTCTTCTCGTTCAGTAAGTTTTAACATGCTCGTTAATAAATCACGACCATTATAAGAATTTTTCTTAATCTCATTTCTCCTTGCTTCTATAACATCATAAATGAATCCATCAAATTCTTTGAGTGCATCCAAGTATTTTTTGTTAGATTTTAAAGGCAATTTATCTACCCATGGAACCATACGATAGAGAGGAGATCCAACAATTGAAACAACATATTTATAAGAACTTATAAGATGAGAAACTCCTTCGGATTCTAAACACTAAAATATAATCTTTTTTAGATTGTAATAATTAGTACTAAAGAAATATATATATCTTCCAACTCTTACTCCAAACTTATGTCCAAAGCCCAATTTTCCCAATGCTTCAATTGTAACACGTTGCATAGTTTCGTATACATCAATTGGTCGATTTAATTTTGGTTTCATGAAAGCAAAAAGGTCCATCGTAGTTTCACCAACAATTTCTGGAGATAAGGCAATATTGAATGCAGAATTCGCTAAATTCCTATGAGTTCTCCATTTCTATAAAATAGTCAATATTACTTTAAGTATTAACGATTCTACTTAGGGAATAACGGCATTAACGCGAATAATGCTTATAAAAATCGAAGTCGAGATTACATACATCTCCATTAGCAAATGGTAATCCAGACCCGAAAAATTTATCTAAAAAACTACCAGGATCTGGTTCGAATTTGGTAGCATCATCCTCTAATAAATAATTTTAATTATTTAAGGGAACGTTTTGTTATGTTTTAACTGTACCGCACATTAAAAAAACAAATTACCTGATTCAGTCAATAAAATTTTAGCATATTCAGGGCTTGCGATACTTACTGAGCCGAAGTAACTCTATAAAAGTAAATAAATATATATTTTTTAATAAATAAGAGAAATTAAGATAAAAATGGGTGACATTGATATTTACAAAATAAATTCCATGGTCTCCTGAACGTCTTTGAATTAAATCCTCAATTTCATCATAGTTATTTTGTTGTAAATTGGCCCACAATATTTCTAATGTAGAAACATTTGGAATACTCTCAAGTCCTTCAGGTTTTTTATTAATTTTACGAATGAAATTAATAACAACAATCAAGATAATAACGAAAAATATTGATATAAACATTTTTTTGTTTAAAAGTACATGCTGTAGGTACTGTACAGACAGTATATTTATATAATTACTTGTTACATGAAACATTATAGGCCCAATTTAGTAAGGTATTTTAGTCTTTCGAGATTTACGAATTATAAAATTCGGAAGGTTTTATCTAACCTGAATGCAAAATTATCATGCACTTGATTATGCCTACGGCACCCCATAGAAAATTTAAAATACACATGACGAACTATATTAGTTCCCTTAATTTGTATAAGCAATGTATTAGAAATTTCTCTTTTTAGCTAAGGGGTGAAAATTATTTTAATTAATGATCGACAAGTGATGCGACATTTCCGATGGCTGTTAATTTCGCAAATATATCGTTTTTTATTAAGGAGGTGATGCTTTTTGATTAAAGAAGTGGGTTGTACAAACTATTGTTGAAAAAAAAATGTATCGTTTTTGATTATTGAAAAAAATGTATCATTTTTGATTATTCGGTAGTGTCACATGGCATGCGCAGTGCATGCGCTAATTGCGCTATGTACTGTACTACAGTACTATTATTTTTCGCGTTTAACGGATAATCGATGAATTTATGAATTAAACTACCGCTATTTTCCATTTTTCATATTATTTACTCAACCTTTATTAAAATTAAATAATTAATGAAGTACTTTTACTAATAGCAACTCTTTACAATTAATTTAATATATGAAAATTGCTAAGCTTGTAAATATCAATACATATATATATTTAGACAAATTAATATTATTTTGCTATAATATATAATTTATATCTAAGATTCTTTTTATGTCCATAAATTAATACTTTATTATGTAATTTTTACAAAGTTATTATTAGTTAACTTTTTGAAAAACTGAAATTTTAAAAACACCAGATTTTATTAATGAAACCGCCTTTGTCGTATTAAGTAATTCGATTCTCCATAAAATTTTACATATATTCGAGCAATTAAAATAATATTTATTCTCCATTAATAAGTTGCATCTGGAGGTTGAAACTAAAAAAAATGAAAAAAGTTGGCGTAATGGAAATTTTTTATACAATTATTATATTATTAAAAAAATTATTAAAATAGATAGAGAAAAGTTCAAAAAATAAAAGTTTATTAAGGTTCATAGTATATTATCTAGAAAAAAAATCATGTTATATTAGAACTATTTATTGATTATAATATGTTTTAATTAGCAAAAAACAAGTCAGCCAAAAAAACCTGACATTTCCGCTGACTGGTATGTATTTATAACGTAACACTTTGTTGAATCAGATTTTGCGAAAGTTTTGGAACTGGTATCTGAGAGCACAGCATGTGATTTCGAATTCACATCGATAACTTGCAGTTAGATTCTAATTAGCTGATAATAAATGCATTTCATGACGTTATGTTAACAAAAACTTTGCTTTTTTAGAAACCATATTAATAAGAATGTTGTGAAAACATTTCTTTGATAGCAAAAATTAAATAAAATAAAAAAATAGTTTTCACCGGTCAAAATGGTGCAATCGGCTGGAAATCGGATGTCCGATTTTAGGTCGATTTTGGGTCGATTTTGGGTTAAAAGTTCCGAATTTAAAAAGTTCCGATTGGCAGCAAATCGGAATACAAATTCGGAACTAAATCATTACAAATCAACATTCTGAATTAATTCCGATTTAACAAAATCAACATTACGATTTAGCAAATTGATATTACAGATTTTGAAATATTTTTAATATTTTTATTAAAATCATATTTTGTAAAAAATGATACAAATTAGCAAATTAAACCCACCAAAACCCAAAAACCTACCAAAAAACTCATCCAAAACCCTCCAAAAAAACCTATTAAAAATCTACAAAAAACCCTGCCAAAATCCACCAAAAATCCCTATGCAGTTTTTTTTGCACCGATCCACCTCATATCCACCCATAAAAGCCGAAACCTACAAAATTAAAGAAAGAAATGTTAGAATGTCTCTTATAGATAATTTCGAAACTTCCCTATAAACATTCATCTACTGATTACTCACGCCTAAAGAAGCCGAAACCTATAAAATTAAAGAAAGAAACTTAACGTGATCATGGTTAAGAAAAGTTCGCTCGAACTTTTCTTAATTTGTACTACAACATAACGTGATCATGGTTAGAACGTTTCTTAAAAATAATTTAAAAACCCCCTAACACTTACCTGCTGATTATCCATGCCGAAGCAGTTTCCTATAAAAAAGAAATGAAAGAAACGTTAAAACCGTTTTTTTTTTAAAAAAAAAAGTTTCGAAATTATTTTTGAAACTCACTTTGGATTCTGGATTCCACGCCGGAGCCGATTTCCTACAAAAGTGAAATAAAAAAAAAACGTTAGAAACGTTAGTTTAAAGTTTTCTGAATTAAATCTCGAAACTTACCAAGGAATTCGGTATATTAGGAGCCGATTTCCTACAAAAGTCATAAAAAAAGTTAAGATACGTTTTTTAAAGTTTTCGAAAAAATAACTTCGGAAACTTACCTGGAATTCTGGTATCCAAGATGGGCCAGTTTCCTTATCTTCAGTAGACTTCCGGTATCTACGTTATAGCCGGTTTCCGACAAAAACAATTATAAAAAATGTTAGTATACGTTTTTATTAAAAGTTTTCGAAGTCCAACTTCGAAAACTCACCGGATTCCTTCCTTATTGGGCCGATTTCTACAAAATCATAATAAAAAAACGTTAAAACCGTTTTTTCTTTAAGCTTCAAAAATTAGTTTCGAAACTTACCTTGGAATTCGGCTATCCACATCGGAGCGATTCCTACAAAAAAAAAATAAAAAAAAACATTAGAAACGTTTTTTTTTAAAGGTTTTGAAGATTATTTTCGAAACTTACCTTGGAATTTGGCCATCCACTTTGGAGCCGATTCCTACAAAAAAGAAATAAAAAAAAGTTAGAAACGTTTTTTTTAAAGGTTTCGAAGATTATTTTCGAAACTTACCTTGGAATTCGGCTATCCACTTTGGAGCCGATTCCCTAATAAAAAAGATAAAAAAAAAATGTTTCCGAAGTAAAGGAAACTTCAGAAACTTTCGGAATAAAAAAGATAAAAAAAAAGTTTTTTTTAGTGAAAGTTAAAAAAAGCTTAAATTCGGATAGCTTATTTTTAACATTAAAATGGAAATGATCACATCAGTATCAATCGGGGACTGTATACACGATTAATCCTCCTGTTTTTCGAAATACTGTACCC